GGGGGGGGGGGGTGTTGTGATCCAGTGGGTAAACAGGCTTACATCAGCTGGCATTAGACCAGTGTCTGGGCCTCATTTTTTAGGGATAACTATATTTGCTAAGAATGACAGTGCTGTGGTCATTGGGTTCCAAGGTGCCTCTTTAAAAGCAGAAAAGTGTTTAGTCCTGGACAGATTGTGTAACATAAATGGCCTTACTTTTTTATTCTTCACTTCCACCCTTTTAAACTGATTAAACTGTTGCTCATGCATTGTCACTTTCTACTTTTTAATGGATTGTGTTGGGGGAGGATAAAGTTGGCCACACTAGAACAGTATTGAATCTGGTTATTCATGTTGAAAAGGTGCTAATATAATCCACATTCATGTCAAATTGCTTGAAGTAGCTGGCTTTTAATACTGTCTCTGTTTGAATAGACTCTTCCTTTAAGGATAAATTTAGATTTATTTTGTGTAGAAGGAGCTGCCACCCTCTCTCCGTGATTACTAACTCTTCTAACTTTTTTTCTCCTCGGATATCTAGCTCATTGCTATGTGTTTTTAATACAAATATCCACCTTTTTACTTATGTTTATGTCAGTTAATTGAGCAGAAATCTGAATTCTAATCCCTGGTGCATCTGTAGCAGTCTTTATTCATTAGCCTTACATGCATCTATCTAATGCACCTGGTTAGGGGCATTGGTAGTACAATTCTAAAAAAGAAAGCTGTAGAAATGGGCATCTGCCACAAGAATCTGAATTGCTTTTACCTAGAGCTGGGCAAAAACTTTGGCCTGAATACCTTATTCACCAAAAACTCCGTTTTGATCTGTTCCGTTTGCTGGGTAGATGTGGCACAAATTTGAGCATTTTTGGCCAAAAATGTCCTTTCTCCAGCAAAATATTGGCCTCTAGCTTTTGAAAACATTAAAATATTTTGTTTCAAAATCATCTGGAACTTCATCAAGTTCAGGATAACATAAAAATAGTTTTGGTTTGAATGAGACACTTCTGCTGATTGTATGCTGTTTGTTTGTTTTTTTTGCTTTAAGCTTGCTCTGCTTATACTTTCTTCATCTTCTCTTATTATGGAGCAGGGTTCCAAGTCTGTGGCTTGTTAGTTTGTTTCTTTTGGTTTAAACTATAATTGAGCAACTAATTTGGGTACCTAAAAATGATTATATGAGACAAGCAAGCACGTTTGGGTTTTTTTGATGACATAACTCCTTGGAGTGAGAGCATTTGTTTATTAGGTGGCAGACGTAGTAATGGAAGATGTAGCTGGCCTTTAGATAGTGACTGATGCAGAGGTTAAAAAGTAGGATCTTTCTCTCAACACTAAAAAGTGTGAACGTCTTGTCTCTTGAAGCAAAATCTGTCTTGTGTGAAGTTCAAGGTCACTCCCTAACTTTTCTCTTATTTAAAGGCTGCTAGTCTGTATCGATTAGAGGAGGAGAACCATGAAGCAGCTGCCCGCCTGGAAGAGGTTGTCTATCGTGGGGATATGCTATTGGAAAAAATCCAGAGTGCTCTAGCTGATATTGCTCAATCACAGTTGAAGACAAGAAGTGGTACTCCTAGCCAACCTGTTTCAGACTCATAGCAGCAGGGGGCAGCATGTTGCTGCAAAACTGGACTAAAAAACTCCTATGTCTAAAGAGTTCTGCATCAAATATGTACTGTAATATCAAGCCTTACTGTTGTGAGAACTTAAGTGTTCTGATTACAGTAAATATAACTTTTTTTAAATCTTGTACTAGTCTCAATTCTGGCATGAAATGTTTATAAACTAGGATTGCTGCTTGTTCTAGAACTGTGCATTAATATACTTCCTCTTAATTCAATATGTTAATTTCTTTTAAATCTAACTTTTTTTCTTTTTTATGCATAGATATGTCCGACTTCATAAAGATAACAGCTCATCAGATTAAGCAAATGTAGTCCTTAAAGGAGCTGTGCAAGGTGTAATACTCTGTGCATAGCCCAGACTTCAGATCTGTTGTAGGTTTTCCCCATTGTTATGCAAATCTTAAGCACAGAACTATGAACTTGCCAGAGGCAGAGAGGAAACCACTAGACATTCTGAGGTCAACATAACTACATGGCTATATATGCTATGTATTGCCATTCAAACTGCGTGATACTGACTGTTTGAATCTCTTCTTACCAGCTTACAGCCTACAAGCTTTCTTGACATCTGTTTAAAGCTTAAAATGGACAGTTAATCTTAGTATTTCCTTTCACTTCTGATTCACAGATGAGTCTGTGGGCTAGTTATGGTTTTTGACATACTTAATGGCTGCTTGCAGGCAGCAGAAAGATTGTATGGTACTGGCTCCATGTCTGCTTCCGGATACTTTGACGGTTGGTTGTTATGGCAAAGAAATAGTCATTGTAAAAGAGACAATGAGGCATTCATTACAGCAGAAGTGTTGGGGAAAGAAGCAGAAATGTCCACAGGAGACAGAAGTTGGCAATTGAAGAAATGAAAATAACTTATTTTTTAAACTAATAGCTTTTGTAAGCAATTGCTGTAACTTGTACTTGTGTGACTGTAAATGAGAGAAGAAGGCTCTAAGATGCTCTTACCAGTTTCTCCCCAATAAATAAACTGGCATCTTTAGTGCACAGTGATGAAGACAGTGGAATCTTTGTCTTGTGTGAAAAATAATTTCAAGGGAGAAGGACCTTGGGGGAAGGGAAATATAGGTTGCAAGAAAACTGCCCCCCGGTACAGGTTCACTGTACAATCTTTCCCTGAGCTGATTGGTGTCTAATTACAGGTGCATAAGTTATTTGTTCAGTTGTCTAATTAAAATTGACTACATATATATAGCATATATATATAAAGCAAGCCTTTCCCAGTATACTTGGAACTTACGCTGCTAGTGTAGAGGACAATGACAGCATGTTAGAAGCCGCATATAAAATGTAGTTGATGTTTGTTTTTACAAACATCAAACAGGAGCATAGCATGAACATGACTTGCATGTAAGTGTGCAACAATCTGTTTAGAGAATTTACCAAATACACAGCTCTTTTCTACTTGTAGGTACTACTAAAATGGAAGTGTAAGATTTAATCGGATGTCGCTTGCTATTATGAAACCTGCAAACTCCTGGATAATAACAGAAGAAGAAAAAGAAGCATGGTCTGTTAGCTTGCATACAAAAGAGCATGCTGTGGTGGGATGGGTTGTGTAACATGATAAATCCCTACAGTATAATCTTTTGTAAATATCCATGAACATAGGAAATGAAGACTAGGGTTTTTCCCCTAGAGAGGTTAAGGGGGTGGGACTTCCAGTCCCAAAATAGTGACCAGGGGCTACTCATGCAGCCTGTGACAGCTTGCCAAAACTCAGTAAGTGGCCCTCCACCAGAAATAATTGCCCATCCCTGGTCTAGAAGATCCCATTAAACATATCTATGATGCTTAGTTTCAGTTTCAAACTGTGGATTTGTCTCCAGAGACCATAGGCAGACAAGATTCTTTGGGTACATGTGATTTATTAGACTAACTAAATAGTTAGAAAAATTGTTCTTTGCAAGCTTTTGGGCACAAGCACACTCCTTCAGGTATAGGGGGAGTTTGTTGTTTCCAGAGATGGTTTGACTTAGCCCCCAGCAAACCAGTCACGGTTTGAAATAGCCCCCGGCACTCGGGAGCCAGGAACAGCAAGGAGAGGAGGGATTCAGGCATATGTGTCCTGCACACACGTGTGACCCCTTACCAGACCTGAGGCAGACGCAGCAGCAGTGGGGACAGCAGCAGCTGATCCCGCTAAGGGTAAGTGGGCAGAGGGACTGGATACAACTGAGCCGGATCCGGAGGGAAGCCCCCCGGATCCATCTTAGCTGAGCCGGTAGGGAGCGTGCAAACGGGGAGGGCTAGGGGGGACTGCCCCCCCAAGCTAGGGAGCACCCCCGGAGTTAACTCTCAGGGAGCAGGCTCTGGAGGCACCGGATCCCCCCAGCGGGGGAGCGTAGGGGGCGGGACTGCCAGCAGCCTACCCGGGGCTTATCTGAGGCCTCCAGCCAGAGAGAGCCCCTGGGGGAGCTGGTGTCCTCCCCCACCCCCTGGCCTGCGGGGGTTGCCCAGCAAGGCCTGGGGGGGGCAGGGATTGGGGACCCCCACACCTGTCCTGCAGATGCCTGCCTTAGGGCCCTGGATGCACAGGTGAGGGAGCTCCAGGAGGAGGTTAGCAGGCTGAGGGGAATTGGGGAGGTGGAGGACAAAATTGACTGCTATTTCCTTTCCCTGCAGGGTCACACACCCAAGGAAGAAGCGTCTCGGGAAGTGCCCTCCACTGCAGAGTGGCAGACGGTCACCTCCAGAACCAGGGCTGCTCGTAACACAGCAGTACCGGTTCCTCCAGTCTGGCTGGAGAACAGGTACGAGGCCCTGGCAACACTGGGAGAGGAGGCAACTCTGCACTCTCCACGCTCCAAGCAGGCTGAAGGAGCCAAGCAGTCCTAGAGGAGAAAGTGTCAAGTGATCATCATAGGCAACTCCATCCCGACAGGTACAGAGGGCCCCATCTGTGGCCAGGACCCCTTGACACGCAAGGTCTACTGCCTACCCGGAGCAAAGATTCAGGACATGATGGGGATGATTCAGGCAGTGATCCAGCCCACCAATTACTACCCCATGGCCTTAATCCATGTGGGTACTAAGAGTACGGCCCAGAGAAGCCCTGATCACCTGATGGCAGACTACCATGCTCTGGGGGGCGTGCTCAAGGGGATAGATGCACAAGTGGTATTCTCTTCTCCTCTACCAGTGAGCGGATGTGGAAGACTGCATGAGATGTGCATCGCAGAGACCAGCTAGCAGCTTTGGGAATGGTGTCTTGAGGTGGGCTTTGGCTTCAGCTTCCTTAACAATGACCCACACATCGACGAGAGACATGCTCAGACGGGATGGGCTCCACCTTTCCCCTAAAGGTAAGCGTGTGTTCTCTTCTAGGTTGGCGGATCTCCGGCGGGCTTTAAACTAGGCTTGTTGGGGGAAGGGGAACAGGAGGGAGGAGGAAGCCTTGGACTGCTAAACCAAGCAGCGCTCACAGGTACAGCCCAGCCTAGACCAAGCAGAACATATACACAGGTAAGCAACAGGGGCCAGGGCAATACTGAGATTGGGGGGCCAGTGCACACATCCACCGGAGGCCTCAAATGCCTCTACACAAAAGCTCATGGTGTGGGAAACAAGCAGGTG